CATCCCGCCACCTCCGACGAAATCATGGAGGAAAACGTTCGAGGTTCGACGTTTGGATGAGGTTTCAAGGCGGTTTCCTTGGTCCTCAGCGGCTTTCCAGTCTCAAAATACTTTCCAGCGGCAGCGCCTCGCCGAAAGCGTTCCGGGGATGCCTGTGTCGTCCCGAACGGGCACCGCCCATCGCCCTCAGACCCTCTCGCGACGAGATAAATCATAACGGACGGCTTATTGCTATGTTCGGCCTCTGGAAGTCCGTATCGGTCCCGGAGAAATCATAGAACAGCTCAGAATGAAAAACCGGTCCCTGGGAGTGGGTCCAAATGTCTGGGAATCGACGTTGCGAAAAAACGTGAACGTCGGGTCGGAGCCGCCGATCGTGGCCGCCGTCGCTGATCGTTACCGCCGCAGCCTATCGTCGCCGCCGCCGCCTTCACCGATGGTCGTCGTCATCGTCGTCGTCGTTGAAGATCGAATCCGAATCGCTTGCACGTAAGTGGCCCCAGGCAAAGCAGAACGATTAAATGAAAGGGGCCTTACACACGAGGACAAAGCAACCCTACGCAGCGGCTTACGCGGGAGGCTAGCGCAGCATGCTACAATGGGAACGAGGGTGCTCACGCGCCACATTGCGCAAGCAAACTGCGCGCGAACGCCAGCACAGTCCGACTCGTTTCCTACGTCGCTCAGATGAACCTTGGTGCGCGGCTTCGGGGGGGCCCGTTCGGGCCCAAGGTCGGCTCGGCGGTGCCGCCGATATGTGTGGCACTGCCGAACCGAACCGCCGATGATGTCTGCCAAAAGGTCTCCCCAATGGGGTCCGTGCTGATGGGTGCGGAAAATCGCGCCGCATCATCGGCGATGCGCCGGCGAAGTCGGCGTGCAGAACAGATACGGGGTTCCACATCGAACCACATCGCCAATGCGCCGGCGATGCGGCGAAATTCTCCGCCCCCATCTACTCCGACCCCATCTGGGATACCTAGAAAGGCTGGGTCTGGAATGTGGCCGTTTTTGGGCCTCGCCGCAGGACGCTACTGACCTTCAGCAATGAATTCGAATGGCGGGCGAAGCTTCGGATTCCCATTCGGGAGAATTTCACCACTTCGAACATACGTATGCGGCCGATTCGTGACCAGCCCGAGAAGACAGCATGCCGCCTCGCCGGGCCCCATTCAACAAACCAATGCGCGACGCAGGGTGCGCAACGCAACAAGGCCGATGGATCGGCGACATGCTCTCGACAGCGAAACCGAACGCCCTTGGGCGGGATGGGCAGTCGGGCGCTTGTCGGCGATGAGTGGGCGATTGGGATGGGGGTCGATGGGACCTAAATTGTTCGCCTAAGGATCATAACATCTGGACGTGATGATTTGTATACTGCCGTATTGTTCCATCGTTTCTTGAAATACGATCCCTGTGGTTTTATTATCCATGGACTCGGCCATGATGTACAAGTGTGTCCGTTAAGAAAGGACTACTAGTAGGTGGGGTGGTGATGTAAGCGCGTGGAAAGGAGCGTGCGCGCTCCCGTTTCCGCCCGCCCGCAGCCCAACACGGCTGCGGTACACGCGGTAACCGACGTCAATGCTCAGTGGCGGCGACAGCGGCTGCAGCGGGCGACGGCGCAGACGGAACCACGTTTCCTCCCCTCCCTGCGCGGCAGGATGCGCAGGTCTAGCCACAGCTCATTTCGGAGTTGCCAGCATTCATGCAATCCCCACTTGTTTTTATGGCGCACGCGACGGGATAGCCTCTACTCCTGGCGAATATTTGACGCGGGCCGAAGCAGAGCAGACTGACGTGTGAGACAAATTATACAGTGTGCCAACTCATCACAATGCGCTCGGTCAGCAGCTGTGTCTATATCCTCAAGAATATATACTCACTGCGACAAAGTGAAGATGAGCCGCGCATTCCTCTCATGGTCACAGATGCGTTCAACTCCAAGGCCCGGCGCGGTTACCTCGCGCGTTTAAGAAATTCACAGTCGACGAGCACCAACTTCATCTCATAACCGAGAGCCGATGTGCATGTGAGACCACTTTGTCTTTTTACCTTTTTTCTTCCCTTGCGGGGAAGAACTTTCAATTTAATCGCGCGTTGTCCTCCACTGTCGCGTCCGATTGTACTGGTGGCGTGCCTGCCATCCATATCCTGCCCCAGAATGCCAACCGGCATGCCAATATCCATTCTCGTGGTTCCCCTACCCTCCCCTGATGTCACGACTTCTCTGATTCGTTGCCGAAAGTGCAGCGGGATCCGCGGCCGCCGACGGTCCGTCCACGGGGGTCGCAGCGTCACCGACGCGAATGTCAGCGCGTCTCGACTTGGGTGGCAGCGAACCTTCGGCGCTCCTGGGGGCGGGTATCCTCGGGGGCGACTGCTGAGGCAGTCGGCGATCGGGCGGTGCCAGACGAGAGAGAACCACAGCTCCCAACCAAGGATGGCAACCGGTTGAACCAACAGCCACGCAGGGTGCATCATGCACTTGAATGGCAGCATCCGAGCCGCTGACTAAGTCAGCAGCGGCCCCTAGCATCGGCATTCTTTTGGACTGGCCTTGTCATGCTTTCCGCATGCAAACATACATTCTTCCATTCACTCATGCATATATATATATATATATACGTATCAATATAGAAGCCCCGAGGGGCCCAAACACATCCATATCCACCGCCCGCCGTGCCCACAGTAGGCGACGAGCCCAGGGGGAAACTGAGAAGGAGAAGGCCTTCTCAGAAGGCCGCGGGACTTCTCAGAAGTCCGGGGGGCTTCTGAAACGTTTCCTTGGCCTATTTCGAATACAGACAGAACTTCTGAGAAGCCCTCTCAGAAGTCCAGAAACTTCTCAGAAGCCTCGGAAGTCCCGCCCCTTCTCATTTCCCCCCCGCGCCCGCCGCCGACACAAGACGTCTCTGGCGCCCTGAGCCCCTCCAAGCAGAACCTCTCCGGGCAGCTGCAGCCGCCCGTTGCCACCGAGACCTGCGCCCATGGCGCGCGGGGCGAGGCAGATGCCGCGCCCGCGGCGGCATCCGACGCCGACGAGGCCGACGACGACGCCGAGGCCGACGGCCGCCGACGTCGAGGCCGACGCCGACGACGCCGCTGCCGACGGCCGACGACGGCGAGGCCCACGACGGCGAGGCCAACGGTCAACGCCGACGGCCCCGACGCCGACGGAGCGGCCGACGAGGCCGAGGCCGACGGCGCCAAGGCTGACGGCGACGAAGCCGACGACGACGCCGAGGCCGACGGTGGCGCGGCCGATGGCCGTCGACGGCCAAGGCCAGCGAGGGAGGGATACCGAGGCAGGGGCGAGACAACAAACATCCAGAGACAGCGAGAAAGAGAGAGAGAGAGAGAGAGAGAGAAAGACAACGGAAATATACACATAATGCGGGGAACATGCACACACACACACACACGCATACGCACACACACACACACACACACTTCTACGTCGCAGCGCGGCAAAAACAATCCAAACGCACGCTCGGGCAAGCCAGGTAACGGCATCGCGAACTGTCCAGGACACGCACACACACAAGCACACACGTATGTATGAACATACATACATACATACATACATGCATGCATACATTCATACATATATACATACATACATACATACATACATACATACATACATACATACATACATACATACACATACATACATACGTACGTACGTACATACATACATACAGACATACGCAACCATATATACATAGAAACATACATACATACATACATGCATACAAACATAATTACCTACCTACCTACCTACCTGCCTACCTACCTACCTACATACACACATACACACATACATACATACATACATACATACATACATACATACATACATACATACATAGATATATACATACATACATACATACATACATACATACATGCCTACATACCTACATATCTACATGCATGCATGCATGCATACATACACACATGAATTCATGCATACATACATACATGCGTGCATACATACATACGTACACACATGCATATATCCATCCATTCATTCATGCATTCATCCATACAAACATACACATATACATATACATACACATACACCTATACAGACATAGTTACATCTACATATACATACATACATGCATGCATCCATACATACACGCATGCACACATACATACATACATGCATGCATGCACCCATACATACACACAGTCATGCCCACATACCTACACACAGACATACACACATGCATACATACATTCATCCAAGCAGACAGACAGACATACTACAGACATTCAAATCTTTTTCAATGTGTATATATACGTAGCTCTCTAACGGTTGGCCTGGACGGGGACCCCTGCGGAAGGTCCGGAAGAGCGGGACATTTTATACAGGCGCACCGTTTTGCGACCAATGCGCCACCCTCGAAGGTGACCCAATTTTGTGAGAGGCATGCGATCAGAGCTTGCCCTCGCAGACTCATCGTCATCATCAAAAAAGGCATTCGCCAGTTGCTGGAACAGTTAGACCAGAAAAGGGTTGGTGGTCGGGGCGGTGGTGGCTGCGCTTGAGGCCCCCGCTTTCCCCATCACACCTGACACGCTAACGAGAGCCACCTGGCAGCTCTCTAACGCTTGTCCTGGACGGGGACCCCTGCGGAAGGCTCGGAAAAGCGGGGCAGTGTGTACAGGTGCGCCGTTTTGCGACCAGTGCGCCAGCCCCGAAGGTGACCCAATTTTGTGAAAGGCATGCGATCAGAGCCTGCCCTCGCAGACTCATCATATCATATCATCATCATCATCATCATCATCATCATCATCATCATCATCATCATCAGCATCAGCATCAGCATCAGCATCACCACCATCATCATCAAATAATGCTGCAAATTGCCAACCGCTCCATCCAAACGGGCGTTGTGGGCGGGGAAGCAAAGCTTGAATCGCATATTAATTCCAATGCGTTGGCTCTGGATGTCCCCTTTTGGGGCAGGGGCTGGGCCTCCGAGGAGCTACCGAAATCGACGCTGCAAGCCGATCCCGAGAAAAAACACGAGCGCATATTCAACCCAGCTCCCTTTCTTAACCGGCAAGAAGGGCGGGGCCACTGCAAGTGCAGGCGGCTCTGTGACGAGAGCCGTTCTGCTCCCGTCCACGTCGACAGCACCTGCCTGCAACTGCTCTGGAAGGTCGTCGAGGGCCGACGCGGCGTGCCCCGCAGCCGCGGTAGCTGTCTTCTCGATGCGCACATCTAGAGGTGCAACCGATGACTCGAAGGACGCTGCTGAAATATTGGACCAGCTGGATACGTTCTCCCATGCATTAGACAAAATCCTCACGGCCTCGGCGGTATGCTCAGAGGCCGTCGCTACTGAATTGGCTCGGCACCACCCCTGCCGGAACGCCCCAGCCATGGAGCGACCCGCGGCATGGCCCACGATGCCCAGGACGAGCTTGGCGACCAAGTCGAGCACCCAGTCGGACCTGAACAAAAAGATCACCATCAGCACGCTCAACAGCGGCCATGAGAGTTGCTCGAAATAGCGGTCGTTGAACGTGCTCTCAACGAAATCGTCGGACCAGAGGAGGCCAGCGAGCATCCACCAAGAGCCCGCGGTGGTCCACCACGAGCACACGCGCCCAACGTTGCAGCTCCTGGGGCCTAGACCTGAGGCTGGCCCCGCTCTGCTGCTGCACCAAGGACACCTGGGCCTCGCGAGCCCCCACAAGGGGCCCCCCAGCTGCATCGCCCGTGGGCCGAGTCACGATTGCCTTAGGCATGATCGCGCCAAGCTCCTCTAGTCCCGCGAGCACCTTCGTGTAGGCACGCAGGACCTTGAGGGGGCGTGATTGATTCCGGCGCGAAGTTACTTGCTTGGCATAGTCTTTTGCTTGTTCTCCCACACTGCTGCCACTGTCCCTCCTAAGGCGACCTTCACTGCCGAAATCTCGGCCGCGCTGGCCTTTTCCAGCAGGTGAGATGCCGAAAGACGCAGGCTCGCGGCCGTCGGCTTGTCAGACGCGGGGGGGGGGGGGGGGGTCGGCGCCCAGACAGCGAAACTCCGAGCGGATGCGGTCAAAACTGTTGGCGACGCGAGGCTCGCCGCGGCTGTATTCGCCCCCTGAACGCAGCGTGCAAGGGGGCGTTCTGAAGCCCGCCTCCCATGGAACTTGACCCAGGCAGTGTGACAAGTACGCATACATAGAGATGTGGCCCCGCCTGCCCTGTGCCCAGCAAATGTGAACTGCGGGGTGCGCAGCTGGCTGGCGAGGTCGAGGCGGGTTTGGCGGAAGCCCCGAATACCGAGGGGAAGACTAGATCGCCAGGGCCTTTCGCAGAAACCCATCACTGGATCCAAGACACCGTGGAGGCCCGTGCCAGCAAGACAGCCTGCTTCTTCCCTATGAAGGTTTCGTTTTTCGGGCTCTCGATGGCCAGTGCAGCCTGGCTGCGTCCCTGAATGCGCCCGAACCGCACATGGCGGCCTCTCAGGTTGGCTGCCTCTCCAGTGCGCAACCATCCATCCACGGCGACCCTCGAGAAGATGCGGCACTCGAAGAGGGCCACGACGGGGCGCTTAGACAGCAACAGAGCCCTGGCCAGCGCCCAACGCCTCAACGCCTTCTGGATCTCTCTTGGGATCGGCGTCCTGCTCTGTGAGTCTTCGCCGAAGGCCCAAAACCGCGCCGAGCCCCAGGCAACCCCCAGCCTGCCTCGGAGCTCCAGCCGTTGCTGCTGGGCGACCAGCACCGCGCAGCGAGCCTCGCCAAGAGGTCTCTTTTCGTTGAGAAGGGTTTGCGCGTGCTCGATTGGCCTCGCGACCACGCCGCGCTGCCGCCGCCTGCGCCAGCCTCGACGCGCGCGCCTCCCCGTAGAGCGAGATCTGCAGGTCGCGCCGCCCGGGGCGCGACGGGCCCTGCCAGGGAAGCCAAGCGCGCAGACGCCTCAAGCCTCCGGTACCTTAGGTAGACCACTCGCAGCGGCGCCGCCGCCAGTCGGCGCTCGGCCGCCCGCGGCGCGCCAGGCAGCGCCTCCGCGAACTGCGGGGTAGGCAGCCGCCAGCGCGGCCCGCTTCTGCCAGCGGCCGTCCGCGCGCGCGGCGCCCTCCAGGTGGACGTGGCGGCAGTGGCCCTGGCAGCGCCTGCCGAGACGCTGCAGCTCGGGACAATTTCCCAGCAAGTAGGTGCTCTTCTTGTGCCGCGCCTCCGAGTCGTCTGGCGGGGCCGGCCCGAACTGGCGCGCGTCGCACTCGACGAGGTAGGCGCCCTGCTGGGCGGCCAACGCTTCGCGCCGCTTTGCCTGCCTCGCCTGCGCCCGCGCAGCCCGTGCCCTCGCCCGCGCCCTCGTCCGAGGGAGGAGTCCTTGGCCTTCCTGCCCGACTCGAGCCTCTCCAGCTCCTCTAGCATCCTCAGCTGCAGGAGCGACTGGAGGCTGGCGCTGTCGAGCCCGGCCCCCGCCGCGCCCGCCGCGCCCGCGGCCGCCGCGGCCGCCCGGGGCTCGCTGCCAGTCGCTCGGCTCGGGGCCCCGGCCGGCAGGCCTGCCTCCGACTCGCCGTCGGACAGCTGGCGGCCCCGAGCCGAGCGCCTCGCCCGCGCCGCCTGCGCGGGGGGCGGCCGGACCTTGGCCTCGGAGTCGAACGAGCCCACCTCCTTGGCCACGCCGCCCCGGGCTGCCTGCTGCTGGGGCCGACGCGCCGCCTGCGCGATCTGCCGCTCGAGCCAAGGCTGGCCCCGGCACTCGCTGCTCCCGCCGAGACGCCCTCGCCTGGGCGGGGCTCGCGGGCTCCCGCCGCGGCTGCGGCGGCGGCGCCGCGTCGTCGGTCGACGCGTGGCGCCCGCCGCCCGCCGCTGCGACACCCGACGCGAGCATCGCAGGGCCAAACGGCTTCGAGCCGAAGTGCATGCAGGCGTCTCCCCATGACTCTGGCACCGAGTACGCAACTTGCGCTTCGACGCTTTCACGAAACCAACAGCTGTCGGGGCTCTAGGTCCTCGATGGATGTCTCGAGCGACGCTGCCCCGACATCTCGTCCCGCCAGCGCCCGCACTGCTAGCGTCACGTGCTGGTCGTGGAGCTCTGCGACCACTCCTCCGACGCACAGCGCCTGGCGCCTCGGGCCCCCGCCGCCGACTATAGGCGAACGTAGGCCACGGCGCCGACTTCGAAGGCCATGTCACCTGCATCCGGCGCTGCTGCTCGAGAGACACAGCTGCGCTTGAGGGCCCCCCCTTTCCACATCAACCTGACACGCTAACGACATCTACCTGCCATATACACATGCTGTAGTACAGCTTCCTGCGAAGTCTCTCAAAAGCCCGTTTGGTCCTTGGGGTTTCCTGGGGGCCTCCCGGGGTCCCTTGGAGGCATCTTGGGGGGCCATTTGGGGCATCTTGGGAGCCTCTTGGGGCCTCCTGGGGGTCTCCGGGGCCAAGGTTCGAAATTTGAAGTTGGTGTTCCCCCTTTGGGACCCCTCTTGGGCTTGTCCTGGGGCTCTCGTGGTCCAGCTTCGGGGCTTGGGCCGTTTTGTGCCCTTCTTGGACCGTCCTGGAGCTATCTTGGGGGGCCTCCTGGGCCGTCTTGAAAGCCTCCTTCGGGCTGTCGCGGTGTCATATGGGGCCGTCTTGGAGCTCGCGTGGGGCGCTTTTGGGGGCCTCGAGGGCCAATCGCAGGCTATACCTTGGGCTGTCTGGAACGATTATCGGGTTTTCTGGGACCTCCTTCCGGGGGTCGCCCAAGAAGGTCCCCGGGGAGAAGGGGCCCCGAAATACAAAGGAGGGGCCACCCTTGGGGCCCCGGGCCCAGGATCTCCCCTATACAAATTAACGTGTAGTGATGTGTATACATGTGTGTACACCCACATTTATCATGTGTGTATGGGTGTGCATACATACATACACATATATATAGAGAGAGAGGGAGACCCACGCTACATGTTGGGGAATCAACACGCCACACAACACGTGGCCTACCTCCCAAGCGCGACGGAAGCCATTAGCGACCCTCCGCCTGGCGCCACCTCGCCCGTGCGCCGCCGAAGCCTGGGCGACCAAAAGGCACAGGTACCGCTATTCCCTGGACCTCTCCCGGGCCACGATTTGCTTTCAATTTCGATGGGGATCCAGCCGCGGCGACGAGGGCCACCCAGGAGGCCCAGGCGAAAAAGGAGCCCAGGTAGCAGGATCTGTGCCTTTTCTCCTCCGAGCCCTGGACTACCCCCCGCGGACAACATGGAGACCACAAGCGCCCCAGCATGAGCATCGAAGCCCAGCCCGGCGCTCGGGCGCCCGCGAGGAGGTCGAGGGTCGAGGATCGACATGCGGAGTGTGTGGCCACCGCTGCGACATGCGCGCTGTGGACGCCCAAACCGCATCCAAAATTGAGGACACCAATGTTGTATTGTGTTGGGCTGGTAGGGATAAGTGAGGCGTCAGTAATTTGTCACGGATGCATCTGCGCAAACATGCGGACAAGGCAAAGGGTGGAAACTTAGTGCACGTTGCATCCTGTCTGTCTGTATGTATGTATGTATGTATGGATGGCTGTATGTATGTCTGTATGTATGCATGCATGTATGTATGTATGAATGCATGCATGCATGCATGCATGTATGTATGCATGTATGTATGTATGTATGCATGTATGTGTGTATGTATGTATGTATGTATGTATGTATGTATGTACGTACGTACGTACGTACGTACGTACGTTCGTACGTACGTTCGTACGTACGTATGTATATATGTGTTTATGTATATGTGTCTGTGTGTCTGTCTGTCTGTCTGTATGTATGTATGCATGTTTGTGTGTATATACACACGCGAATGATGTGCATACGTACAAATGTCACACATGTACACATCCGTATCTATCTATATATATATATATATATATATATATATATATATATATATATGTTTACAAGGCCGGGGAACGCACTCCCTCGCGCCCCCCCCCCCAAAACGAGTTTCGACGCCTCGGGCCTGTTCTGCGCCTCCCTGTGGCCATCCAAAGGTCGTCTTGCCGCCACCCGGGCCAACCGGAAGTGAACAAGCGAAAAGGCCGAACACATGGTTTTTCTATTGGGTTTTCTCTGGTGTTCGACTCTCCGGGCCCTCCAGGGCCAACCTTGGGCCTCCTTGGGGCTCGTCCGGGGACTCATTTGGAGCCGTTCTGGGGCTATCTCGACGTCTCACATGCGATCGTAAGCGAAAAGGCGAGAAGGCAACAAAACAATATGTTTTTCCCCAGTGGGTGTTTGATTGACTGTCAATTATTTGGGCCCTCATCGGCCAGCCTTGGGCCTCTTTGGGGTCCGTCAGGGGACTCATTTGGAGCCGTCCTGGGGCAATCTTGACGCCTCAAGAGCCGATTGGAAGCGAAAAGGCGAAAAGGGCGAAAACATGATTTTTCCGATGTGCCTGCATTGATTTTCAAACCTCTGGGCCCTCTAGGGCCAGTCTGCGTCCTCTTTCGAGCTCGTGCGGTGACTCATTTGCAGCCGTGCTGGGCCCATCTTGATGCCCCAAAAGCCAACCGGAAGCGACAAGGCGAGAGAACCAACAACATTGATTTCCCGACGGGTATTCACTGATTTTCAATTGTTCGGCCCCTCTTCGGCCAGCCTTGGGCCTCTGTGGGCCTCGGAGTTTTTCGGGGCCCTCCTGGGGCCTCAAGAGCCGATTGGAAGCGACAGCGCGAAATACACTGGGGAGAAGGGTAAGGAAAACTAAGCAGGGGAGAAGGACGAGGAGGAGGAGGAGAAGGAGGACGACGGGGGAGGAGGAGAGAAGGACAAGGATAATGGGGAAGATGAGGCGGAGGAGGAGCAGGAGGAGGAGAAAGAAGAGGACAAGTAGGAGGTGAAGGAAGAGGACGATGATGATGATGATGAGGAGGAGGAGGAGGAGGAGGAGGTTGAGGAGGAGGAGGAAGCCGAGGAAGAGGGGGAGAGGGGAGAAAGAGGATGAGGAGGAGGAGAAAGGAAAGGAGAAACAGGGGGAGGAGAAAGAGGAAGAGGATGCTTTGCTTCATGCTAGTGTAACCACTCGTTTGAGACGTATTCGCGCCTCTGGGCCCCGAAACGCCCTGAGCTGGCCTCAACTGGTGTTGCCCGGTGGTTTCCGCCGGCTTGGCGGTGGCCCGCCCCATGTCCACGCGTACGCACGCCGCCTGCATTCGAAACTACAACGAACAAGGAACAAGGTGCATGGCGCGAAGCGCCACTGCAGTCTTGTGTATATATATATATATATAGATATGTATAGATGTAGGTCGCAAAATGAGAAAAAGAGAAAGGGAGAGAGAGAGAGAGAGAGAGAGAGAGAGACACACGCAAACATACAGACATGAAGACATACTGAGAGCGAGAGATGCAGAGTGAGAGACCGAAAGATATGCAGGGAGACACAGAGGAGTTGCTGAGCAACAGCAACTCCACAAAACAGGGATGGAGACAGCCAGACAGACTCACAAACACAGACGGCGACTGCAGGTTGGCGACCGCTACTGCGTCGGCGACGGCGGCGGCGACGGCGCGGCGGCGACTGCGGCGGCGAGACAGCCATGCGGCAACGGCGGCGGCGACGACCCAGCAGGCAAGCCGCCGCGCCTCGAAGCGCCCGCACGTCGCGGCGTGGTAGGCGCTGAGCACGTTGCCGCGGCCCCCCGGCAGCCCCTGCGCGTACGCGGCCGCGGAGCAGCGCCCGCCCTCCCCTGCGGTCCGACGCCACGAAAACACGCAACCACGTCGACAAACAAAAACTCGACCACAGCCCTGGACCACATGTTTGAGCAGGGACCGACCGTCCCAGCATTCCTATAGTCCTACCACGAAATGTCCCTAGAACCCAAAAACGTGATAGTAGCAAAAACCATGTTCTTAGAACGTTAGCCCGACGTGTTAAAACAAGACAGTCCCAGCCAGACATGTTCCAAGAACATTCCGTGGAAGCCACGCAAAGCTTCTAGAACATTCGTTAGTGGGCCTATACGCGAGCCGGGACGATTCGCCACTGCTTGACATGTGCCCGCGGCACCTCGCCATCGCTCGGACGTCCATTTCCCGTGCATTTTTCGGTTTCGTGCGTGTGTTTTTTGCTCGATGGTCCAGGATCGTCCTCAATGGTCCTCGCCGAGAAAAAATGCACACGTCCGAGCGATGCCAAGGCACTTCCGGGGCCAGATCGATCCGCGAGGGGCCCCGGGCCGGCGACAAGCTGGGGCGCCGCCCGCGCGCAGCCACGGGGGCGGCGGGCCCTGCCAGAAGGGCGCCGCAGGCGCCAGGGTCGGTCGACGCAGCAGTCGACGACGACGAAGGCGACGACGACGACGATCAGCGACGACGACGATCAGCGACGACGACGACGACGAAGAGCCTAAGATTTCAGTGTCCAGCAGAGGCCCCCGATGGCCGCCGCCCGCCGCCCGCCGGCCGACGACGGCCGCCGAAGGTGCCACCATCGAATAGTTGTGCCCGCACGCATGCGAATGCGTCACACCGCGACCGCTCGTCGTCAACATGTGCCGCTCCTCCTCCTCCTCCTCCTCCTCCTCCTCCTCCTCCTCCGCATTCCTCCTCCTCCACCTCCTCCTCCCCCCCCTCCTCCTCCCTATTGCCCTTCCTCCTCCGCCTCATCCTCAGTCCCATTCCCTCCCGACTCCTCCTCCTCCTCCTCCTCCTGCCCATCCTCGCGCGGCCAAGTTCCCCCCCGACGAAGCACCGAGGCAGCCAGCCAAGGAAGCGAACGAGCGCAGGCAGCATGCCAGCAGACGGGAGCGCGCTGCCAGGGTTCGGGGCGGAGCGGGCGGCCGCCCACCGCCACGGAGGCCTGGCCGAGGGCGGAGGGGGAAAGCCACTGCCCAGGCAGGGGGGCCCGTCCCCGTCGCGGCTGCCTATGGTGAAGGGGCCCTGGGACACACAAATAAATGAACACAAATGACAGGAGTCCCAGTATTTTCCCATATGTTCTGGGTTTTCGTCTTCCCCCCAGTCCCTGCATTTTCCCATATGTTCTGGGTTTTCGTCTTCCCCCCATTCCCATATCTTCCCATATGTTCTGGGGAATTCGACGATTAATTGTGTCTTTGTGTGTGTTCTCCCCTCCTGAATGACGGATGCGCAATTACCTTGGAAGGCCATGTCGACACCCTGCGAGTGGGGCGCGGCCAGCACAAGCGGCCAAGGATGGGCCGGAGGGGAAGGCTGGAAGGGCAACCTTGGGACCTCGCTCATCTCGGCGGTGGACAAACCTCCCTCTAGTGGACCTCCCCTTAGTGAAAG